CCCTCCTTCCCTCCTTCCCTCCTTCCCTCCTTCCCTCCCTCCCTTCTTCTTGAATAAAACTTATTCCAAAAAAAAGTGAATTGGGATTTCTGCGAATGCAGTCTGCAGATCCTGCAGTGAACTGGATTATCCAGAGTGACACAAAGACGTGAGATCCAGAGCCCCGCTGCATCAGGCCAAGGTCCCTCTAGTCCAGCATCCTGTTCACGCAGTGGTCCAAACCTGCCCAAGTGGGCATATCGAAAGCAGGACCTGGGCACAACTGGACCCTTCCATCCATCTCATGCACCCTGGCAATGGCTCTATCTAGGCACACGCCCTCTGATATTAGAGGTAGCATTTAGCCATTAAGACCACAATCCATTGATAGCCTCCATGATGTTTTCCACTCCTTAAAACATGCTGTCTACATGGGTGGACATGGCCAGACCCTGTAGAAATGAATCCTGTAGTTTAATTGTGTTCTGTGGGAAGGTTGGTTTTTTGCCACTGCTTTCACTTGTATTAGCTCAAGTATGTTTCAGCATCCATTCACATTAAGTAAACCTTATTCAGTATGGGTGCACTAACCTGCTTTAGTTAATGAGACTAAGCACAAGTAGAAAGAAGTCCTGGTAGAAAAAGATCAAATTCAGGTAGTGAACAGGCAATGGAGTAGCCGCAAATATAGAAGTGGGGGTCCTTTCATGAAAGTCAGAGCCATACATCACAGTCACATCCCTATCAAAGCCAAACCTATTTCCAATATCATGCAGGCTATGATTCTGCCTGAAAAATTAGCTTCTTCACTTTGTTTTCATTTCTGTTGAGTAATGAATGCAAGATGAGGTATCTCTTTTCTAGGTGAAACAGGGACAGTTTCTAGAAGTTATTTCTTATGATCTTATTTATTAAGTATGAATAATCTTTAAAAATTACATCGATATCCTGCTCTCCAGCCAGAAAGCTCCCAGAGTGGCTCATGTGGAATTAATAAGGCAGTTCCTGCTCACAGGATTAGTTTCTAAAAACACAACGTACCAGAGGCTGACCATGAGGGAAAGTCTCACAGGCAAAAAACACATAGAATTGCCTGGCGGGCCTCTCCAGAGAGGGAGTTCCTGGGAAAACCCCTGTTCTTGACCTGCTAAATTCAGGATGCAGCCAATAGTGGCAGCTGCCGGCCATGCACCAGCAAAATTAAGTCTCTTGAGAGTGACCCTGGCTTCAGGGATGCAGTGACCCCTCCAAAATAACTGGGGGTGCTTTGACCCCTTGAGGGCTCCCTCCACTACATCTGGTGAGCAGATGAAGGAATGAAAGATGTCTGACAATCCACGAAGCACAGAGGATGTAAAGAATGTACATCCTCTGTAGGGTGTACAGGATGTAATGTAAGGATGCAATGAAATCCACGCTTCCTTAGCTGATGGAATTTGGAGAAGACAACAGAAGCACGCCGGGCGTGGGGACAGAAAAGCTGGAAGGGATGCATGTGAAGAAATGCATTGACGGGTCCTAATGCGCTTGACTCTTGATTTCAGTGCATTCTTCTCAACTCTGTCCCATTGAAATCAACTGTTTGACTTGTGACCGACTGCATCCAAGACCTTTCTGTTCTCAGACTAGGGTTGTGCCGAAAATATACTCCATTTTTAATACCCAGTCAACCTGATAGAAAATAAATTGGTTTTGACAGGGAAATCCAAATTTTGGGGTGAAACACTGGCAGGTGTGTGTGCGTGTGTGTGTAAGATTCTTGTACTTCCTTTACTTAAGGCACACCAATGCTCAATCTTTCTTTGCACAACTGTAATATGTGTTTGGGGGTCTGCAGCTTTTGTGTTTTCTAACATTTTATAGCCCAAGGAAAGACATAATGAGGTTGCTCCTCATGATGTGGATGGCTGAGAAGACTGCAGAACAGAACAATGGATAAATTTCAAATGGAAACTTTTACATGCAAGGCTTACTTGGCTAATATTCAACAATACAATATGCGCAAGAACGCTGCGGGAAGAAAGCCTGAAGAAACTCTAAAGTGCACGGGAAAGAGGCAGGAAACAAAGGACTGCTTAGCAGGGAAACCTGTTTTCAGGAAATTGGAGGACAGATCTTGGTATTTCATACCTCAATTATTTTTACATACCATTAGGATTTTGGGTGAGATGAAAGTCACATTTTCAACTGCAGCGTAGAAACATAAAAGCGAGTAGGGACCCCAGCAAATGACCAGAGATTTCACTGGCAAACTGGTATTAAACTGGAAAAACAAGAAGAAAAGCACTATCTGCATAATGCTGAGACTGAACATTAGCAATCACATTCAGGTAAAAGGAATGCATCAATAACACTGGCCTTTTTTTGTGTGCATGTGCGTGCACACGTGTGTTACAGTACTGGAAAAAAAGGATGGCCGAGTACAAAGAATACATCACATTTGGCATCTCCACAGTTACAACATTCTAGGTTTGCTTGCTTTTTGACTCCAGAGTGCTACAAATATTTCTGGGCTACAAGTAATAGAATTTTCTCCACAAAGGCTCAGCTCTACCACAACTCACTTTCCATGTTGCCTAAGTGAGCAGACTGAGAGATAATTCCATTCAAGGTACGCAACATCTCCGAGCTCCTCAGAGATTTATTTCATTTATTTATTTAAAGCTTTTATATGCTGACCCAATAACTAAAAAGTCTCCGGAAAGCTTACAAAAAAGCAAAAAGCAAAGCAAACCACGACAACACACTACATTGTGGGAAGTTCTGGGTGGGACGTTCTGCATCTAGTCCCTGCCCAGAATTATTTTCCTGAGGTTCTGAAATAAAAAGTATCTTTCTCACACTGTGAAACTTTCCAGAATAACCCTGTGATGTCTGAATTTCAACCCCTTACCTATTGCAAGAGTGGGATTTTTTTCAGCCAGAGGGTGAATTCAGTCAAGGAGAAGCTCTGGAGGACTAGATTCCTGAGGTGGGAATAGGGATCTGGAGATATTCACACTGGGACTAGGAATCCAATATGTTCCCTGGGCTCAGCTCCCTGGACTATTGCAGCCATAAGTCCTAGTTCCTACTGAGCATGCCCAGCATCCATGGGGTGCTCAGCAGGAACCTCGCAAGTAGCACCCTTCTTCCATGACACTCGCAGCAACCTTTGTTTCTGGTGCTGTACCTGACAAAGAAGATGGTTGCCGGTTGCATAACTTCTTCCAGAAATGTATGCAGACTTCCTTTGGGCTTGGCTCACTTTCCAAGACCAGGCTGAGCACAACAGCAGGTCTGAGAATGCTAGAGGGATGGATTCTGGTGAGCTGGATTCATGGTTCATTCTGAACCATGGCTGGGAGTGGCCAAAAGCAAAAGAGGAGGGACCTGAAAAACCCTTAATACTCTTACTGCCAGTAACAATGCCTTAGGAGAGGCATTTCAACCTTTTAAAATAGGAGAAAGCATGCCCCAAAGCTAGGAAATGACCATATTTTCTGCAGGGAGTGGGAGGGAGTGGGGCCATAAGAGGTTGGTGGAGCTATCTAGAAAACTGCAGAGGTGAGATTTGGTCCATGGGTTTGCAGTTCCCCATTCCTGGCCTACTGGGTTGGGTCAGCCTTATCGCTTTGGTCCAGTCACTTGAATTTTCCTGTTAGATGAGTTGTGGAACAGAGTTCTGGATTGCCAGAAGCCCCTTTCTCTGTTTAAATTTATGTTTGCATAAAGGTGAGTGTATTTCAATACATGGCAACAATGAAGCAAGTTCAAATACTGTCCCTGAAACACAACAAATGAGATAATCAAGCTACAGATTATTGTTTCTTGGGTCAAAAGGAAACCATTGTTTGGCTTGGAAACTAAAGGAATTTCACTCGGGGATTGTTTCTTACCCTGAATTGTCCCGTTTTCTTGAATTTGTGATCTACGGATTGATAAGCTGTCAGCATGATGAAAACAGGAATCACAAAATTGAAAAGAGCCAAAGGAATAAGATAGCTGATATAATTTCTGGGGGAAGAAAGAACATGGAGATCTATTATGCATGTCTGCTATTAAAAGCTATTTATCATAAGAGAAACTATACATTCCATGAGATGTATGCATCATCACCACTTCCTTTTATTAGATTTAGGTGTGATTTCCCAGAAAGCCTTGAAGCAACTTAAAAGAAAAATATCAAGAAGCCTATAAAGCATAGAACAATCAAGCCCATGTAAGTAAGCCATCTAGAGTAATTCAGTTTAAATATACTGCCAGTAAAAACTCTCCAACCTAAAAATGCAATGCCAGCATTTAGCAAAATACTGTAATGGACATTTGAAGTGTGTTCAATCCAACGTTGGACTTTTAGGAAAATTTCCTCCAGTGGACTGCATGACTTAACAGTTGTGGGGGAACCCATCAGAAAGATGGTGGAGGTGTGTCCTTGATGGGGTAGGCTGAGCAATATTGCAATTTCCCAAACATAAGGGGGAAGAGAGGGAATATAAGAAACGAAGGAAACAGAGGTCTTGATTATGGGTTGGTGGCAATGGTCTCCATGCATGGGCTGGTAGAAGCTTTTTAGACTTCTGAAAAAAGAGCCTTGGTATTGTCGGATTTGGAGCAGCAGTGGGTTGGTTTTTGGCAATGTAATCTATGAATTCTAAGTATAAGGTTACGTGTTCTTAGATGTGGCTACAGGCTATTCTGCGCTGAGAAATTCATTTTGACTGGCTATTTCTCCTTTCACCATGGGTACCTTTCCATAGGGCCCATCCCATGCCGTAGGTGCATCAAATACATCTAAATGTAGCTCACCGGTCTCCTTTGGTATAGTCCAACGTGCAGCATGTTCTGAGAGGCTCGTAGTCATATTCACCCCATCCTAGGAGGGGCATTGCAGACCAAAATGCAGCAAAAAGCCAGACAAATATCCCCATGGAGATCACCGAGCTCCACTGCAGCTTGCTTCCTGCACCGGAGAGAAATGAGACATGTCGCATTTTGAATGAGATGCTTTCCCAGAGCATGTGGATGAGCAGGCATCGCTAGTTCATTCTGCAGCACCATCACCTCCACAGCTCCTGCTTCTTTTCCACACTATTTCATGGTCTATCTCCATCACCAGAGATCTCAGATGTCCATCTGCCTCTTCTTAGGTAGGCAAAACGGAAACGTCCGTACATGAGAAGGAGCTCTTAGCCAACCTGAGAGGGAATCCCCTGCTTTGCAGAAGTACAAAATACTTAAGGGTGGAGGAGGCCCTAAGGAGACGGAAGCTTTCCCCAGACAGCTCAGTGCATGGACTTCCCTCAAACAGAGCAGGCCTAGCTGGCTCAGGATGCCATCTGAGTGGGTGGGGAGCAAGCGGAAGATGGAATGGATATCCGGGAGTCTTGGACAAGGAGCAATCTGCACTGCCACATTGTGCTGCACATCCCAGAATGTTTCAGAGTGACAACCACCCCAGCTGATGCTTTGCAGGACATGAAGAGATTTAATTTCCATTGAAACCTGTTGGGTTGTTTTTTTCCTTCTTCCTCTTCCACAGGCAAAGATAAGGTTCCATTTATTAACCACATATAGATCCACTGTTTTACAGATCTGAGCTAAATTGCTGAGTCTTGGATTTAATCTGGACAATCTGTGAAATGTAGACGGAATGGATCTTAGAATGCCTGTACTTCCCTGGCCAAATTGAATATATTTTAATTAGTTTATAAATATTGACATACAGAACAAATCAGGCAGGAGTACTTACTAGTGCAGTAGTGATGATATCGGTCCCAGGCAACTGCAGCTGCAGAACTAATGCTAGTCAGTGCTGTTAAAAATCCTTGAAACCCATGTATTTGACAACCATCCGAGCCGTACGGCCAATATCTGAGAAGAGATAAAGGACAACAGTGGAACTTCCAGAAGGAGGAGAAGAAAGGATAGGAAAATCCAAGTGGACATCCAAATTTCTGTAGTGTTAACATGATATCCTGTTTTCTTTCTAGTTTGGAATGATCAGGGATTCTTTTGAGAAACTGGAGTCTAAATGCCTGCTTGCTACAAAAGTTAGGGAAGAACTAGATGCCATCCTTTATTTATCTTCATAAGGGAAATTCCAGAGAATTGTCAGGGAAAATCAGCTGATACGAGGGGTCCTTTCCATAAACTATGGCATTTTCCTGCAGATGCTCTCCTGTGCCATGTTTGCTCGGGTTTCCTAAGCCAGGTTCAGGTGCTAGAAATGTATCCAGCAGGTGGGAAGATGGTCTATGGCAGATATTTGGTACTGCAGATGCAGGAAGTGCTAAGCCCCTCTTCCCACAACCTGTGGATTCTTTCTTCCATAACTCCCCAACCCCATGTATTTACTTCGCAAACACAGGCTTGGGAACCAGCATTTACCAAAACAGTGCATAGTCCTGCTTTTAGGAAGTTGGTTGGGTAGAGCAGCACCCTTGCAGCTTCTTACTGTTCCTGTCCCTTCTTCAGCTCCCATCTCGGCCTGTTATCTTAGAATGCAGGGAGTTCTAGTACAACATCTCACACTGGAAGGGCTGAAGAATGGCACTGGAAGCTTTCAGTGTATCGACTGAATTCTGGATGTCCAAACATACTACATTTGTCCACCAGAAACACTTTTATGGCTAAGATGAAAAGGATGCATCTAGCTTATTTTCTAGGAACGTGTTGTTAGCTTCCTTGTGCTCACTAATCTTAATGGAAAGTCAGGGTATGCATTATCTTAATAACGAAAGAAAGTAAATCTACCTTAAGAAACTAGAGAAAGCTGCAATGAATGCATTGATGCAGATTCCACAGTCGGACAAGGCAAGATTGAAAACCAGAAAGTTACCAGGTGTTCTAAGTTCCCGGATTTTCCAGAAAGAGACAATGGTCAACATATTCAGGGAGAATCCAAGCAAAGCTGAAACAATAACATAAAAGTACAATTGATTCATAATGTTCATAATCCTACACAACTAACTGGAACACAAGAAAGTCTGGTACAATTCCAGATAATAAATATTGCATCTGTATCCTTTGATAAAATCCATGTCTTCATCTTCTTATTCTTATTTGTATTCTTATTTTCGTTTCTATACTGCCTGTAGCCAAAGCTCTCTGGGAAGTTTAGAAGTAAGTTGACTCTGGCTCATTAGGATAACACCTGTAGCAATGGAGAGATGAGTGAAGTATCGTACAAAAACACTGCGGCAGGAAAAGAATTGCTTTGCAAATGCTCTCTCCTCCTGCTTAAGATAAAACTATCATAGGAAAATAAAGCTGTGGTGAAAAGCCCATCATCTTTGTAACTTTGCACCTCGGGTACTTTGGGGACTCAAACATGGCATGAGATCTCTGTACAGAATTTTAATATTAAAATACTTAAAAGGTAACAAAATTATTTGAATAGTGGTTTTGGCATGGGTATGTGGTGAGGCTATGTACCCCCGCCTCTATTACATTATTTTCCTGACTTAAATCCCCCCAGTTAGGTCTAAAAGTAATATGTCATCATCTAGGACATTCCTCCGTCTGAAGGCATTTTCTGGGCATGAGGCAAAGTACAACTTTAACTTACCTGCTTTTTCCCCTTGCATGGTAAAAACTTGGGTGGGGGGATTTAAAATGGAAAATAGTGCAGGACAAAGGATTAATTTCACCCTCTCATGAAATTAATGAATCAATATAAATTGGGCCCACCACCCAAGGATGTTTTTAAATGGGAAACATGAACAAACATGTGAGATCTTATTTATGGATCACTTACATGATGTCTAGTTTGGTTTTGTATTTTTGCATTTAAAAAATGCAAAGAAAAAAATGCAGATTAGATTATGGTTTCCACTCAGGCCATGGAACTCTTTGGGTGGCTTTGGGACCAATTACTGACTTGATGTAAGTAACTCTGCAGGGTTTTTGTTGTGAGGATATGAGTGAAAGGGTGGGAGAATTATGCAAGCTACCTTGAATTTCTTGGAAGGAAAAAGGCAAGATATAAATATAATAAAACCAACAATCAACCAAATAAATGGACTGCTTGGAGGAAAATGTGGATATACAAATGTACCAATTAAATACAAATCAATATTTTTATAATACATTTAATTTCAGTATTTATCATCTGCATTTTAAAGAAAACATATCAATCAACTAAGCACTTACATTATATGCACATAAAGAACCAGGTTTATGAAAATCTAAATCTGATTTAATGAGAAAATAAAGTCAGGGGAAGTTGGTTAAACCAAGCAGCAAGGAGGAAAGGAGTGTACCATTTTCATTGATGAAGCAATTTAACCAGTTTTGGGATTATATTTTTGAGGCATACCAACAAATGGGGCCAACAGGATTGAACACAGGGAAAACAGGTCACATTCTGCATTGACTTTCCAGCCATTTTTAGTACTAAAATGACACTTGATTGATGTTGAGATGTTAATACCATTAGTCCAATAAGTAGCATGCCATCATTTGTTTGACCCACCTAGGGGTTTCCTCACCCTCAGGATTAATCCAACACACTTTCCTGTAAACATTAAACCAGGAAGACAATATAAGTGAAGTCTGGGGATATTAAATTCTCCATGAATTTTATATGCAATGTATTACATGCAACTGGGATATTTCACTTGAATTCTTTATCTGATAACATTTCAAAAACATACCATGCAAAATTACTAGAAGCAGCCCCCAGTATATAGCCATTTATATTATGCTTATGAGACCCAAATGGAAAAAAGATGTTTTTGGCCATTGAGTTAAATCTAACTTAATATCCACTTGCAAGGAGTCAAAGTTAGCAGTCATGGTTTTTGACTGATCAGCAGATATGATTAATTTACAGCACAATCCTACGCATGGTCAAAGAAGTCCTACAGTTCTCAGAATGCTGGGAATTGTAGAATTTCTTTCTTTGTAAGCATACATAGGGTAATGTCCTTAAAAGCTGAATAACATTAAAGTTCACCTGGAATGGCTAGCTTTGTGGAATGAGTTCTGTCTTTCTGCAGGTGATATGCAAGATTACCCACTTGTTCCAATTCATTAAAAAGCAAGATGAAGGGAAAATGTATGTATTAGTTCTAAGCATGTCAGAACTGAGGAAAATCAATTTAGACCAAGTCAAATATGATCAGCACCTAATTGCAATTCCCTTCCATGACTTGTCACTTTAGTTATGTCTCCATTTCACCAGATTTTTGCAGAAAAAGATTGGAACACTTGAGACAAAGAGCATATCTTGCTTTGGCTAACTGAAAATATTTAGATCTTCTTCCATCCATAGTCAGCTTGAAACACTAATTATTAGTTAGTCTTAGCTACTCACTCTGAGGTTAGTATACACAGAAATGCACTCTTAGGAAGAAAGCACAAAAAGTTGTAATAATGTAATATGATATTTAAAATATCGAACAAAAAACCTTAAACTACTGATTAATTCAGTCAAATATTTGTCTGTATGATTTTTTTGAGGTTTTTTTTCCTGAGTTGCTGAAATTATAGCAAATAAATACTGTAAAAGAAGACTTATTTGATCCAAGCTATGCTAATTTAATGGAAGCCATATTATTTAGGTGTCTTCCTAAACTGGTTTGGATGGATCAATGTAGGCATAATGTTTCCTCGAAATGTTAATATCTACATTTATAAGAAAAATGGGTTTATAGTTATTACAATAGCCACCTTCTCTTGCATACTGTGAATGGTAAAGAAGGAAGTAGGACCGTGTCTGTCAGCCCCTCCCCGAGTTCTGTTCATCCATCGAAAGGTGATATCAAGTCCTACGAATGTACAATAGTACTCGACAATGGGAAGGCCATGCAATCAGGGATCACTGTATGTGGACAATTCCATCACAAGAGGTCTGTTCTGCTGACACTGTCCTGGTTATAAAACACCTGAAATACCATCTTTAGGAATGTCTTGGGCCATAAATGTCTAAGGGTTGAATGGAAAACAGGATCTACCATTGCCTTAAAAGTCTTATCACGGAGTCATCAGCATTAGCTGCTTTCTATGTTGATGCAGCTTGAAAGCACACAATGTTTCATCGGCTGTATTAACCTGAGAAAACAACTCACTCTGATCGTTATTTACAGATAGTAGAATAATATTCTGAAATGTATCAGGAGTATTTTAAATATAAGTCTTCCTTCAAATGAGTGAATTTCCTCAAAGTGGATTCCAACCAAAGGATCTTTCTAGAAGAGTTTACCCAGGCGGTTATGATTCTTTTTCTTTGTTGATCATAACAACACACTACTTTTTAGCTTTCTCCTCCAATCCCTAGGAGGACTATAGAGTTTCAGAGGGCACACCCCTAGGTTTTAATGAAAACAACAAATTTACATTACTTTCAATCACTGATTCCAAGCATTGGAATGAAAATCAAAAATGTAGAGTTTGGTTACATCATAAATATTCTAAATCCAGAAAGATTCTTTCTTGTTCTTTCTTCTTGCAAAAAGAAAATGAATTAAATCTCTATCAAAGATGACCTTTCAAAAAAGATCTAAAACATATATCTCAAAGAATATGTATTTGCATTTCAATTGTATTTATGTTTTGTTTAAAAAAAAATAAAAAAGGGGGAAAAAGGCCTAAAACATACTACACAAGTAGACCTCAGTGAAGGGTTAACCTCTTTAAAGATTGGTTCTTCTGTTTAATCATTCACATTTTCTGTATCTTATGAAAAACATGCCACTCTTCCAGTTATTTCTTGAAAGTTCTCAGGAAAAAAACTGGATTGTTACGTTTTATATGATTGGAAATAGTAAAAACAAATGTCAGGTTACACAGTATACTTTTGCTTAAAGCTCTTACAGCCAGTAGATAAACCTTTGCAGAAGCATTTTGACCTTTCAGAATAGTGGAAAAACTGCAGAAAAGAAGCCACTGGCAGGGTAGGGAAAGGGGGCATAGGTGGAGCCCCCAGAACAGAATTCCAGATGGGCCACATTTAGCCCATGTAAAGCACCGAACCTCCGATTTGGAGTGTAGACATTAGCCGTATTAACTATTCTTGGATCTATCTGTGCAGCAGAGCATCTTAGCTTTCATTTGCATCAGTAGATATATTCAGCACTCGAACACGAATGGTTTATGAACCAAAATCTATGATTCTCTGGCTTGAGTGGAAATGCCTAACTTCATTTTTCTCCAGTCTATGATATTAAATGCAGGGTTCTTATCTTGGGACTGAGTTGAAGGAACAGCCATAGGTGGTGGAGCATGCATCGGACGGATGCACAAATAAAACTCCAGGCTGGGGTTTCGTGGCTTGCCAGCGATCCTGATGGCTTTTCTCAGGTGGGATCGACTGATGGATTGATCAAGATCTGCTAGCGCCAGAGATGGGGGTTTGGGAAATGATTGTTGTAGATTCCATAGGCCCTTCCAAAAAATCAGATCAGCATGAGAACCCTTCTGTTTATGGAATGGCCATTCTGGACCCAACCCTATGCCCATTGCTAATGGACAATTATAACCACTCAAATATGGTGTGCTGAAAATAAAACCCTAACAGTCCATTGATTTGAAGTTATCAGTGCAAGTGCTTTTTAGCAGAATGCTTCTCTGTGTCTTCTTAAAACCAAGTACCGCTGTTTCCAGTGGGACTTACTCCTAGGGTTGGAATTCAATTAAACTTTGATCAGATCATGTCCCACACTTATTAGATTTCAGTGGTGGACAAAAGGCATAGATTTCTCTTTTTGCATAGGTAGACAATCTTGATCAACTTTGAATGATTAAATTTAGTGCTTGCTTTTGCTGGAAATGTGGAGTAGAAATTGAATAAATAAATTCATAATTAACCTTAAAATCTCATTAATCCCATGTCTTCATAGTACCTGAGGTTGAAACCCCTTCCTACAAATAATCAAATAGTTCTTGGCCAATGATTCTTCTTGATCAAGGATAAAATTCATGTTTGGCTTGGTACACCATCCAAAAACATAATATGCATAGAACAATCATACTCCAAACACAATACAGCTGAAGTGAAGCACTTTGCATTGATTTCAGTGGGACAGATAAAAGTTTTTTAAGATGCATTTAAGTTTCCATTCAGTGTTTACTAAAAATATGTTTAAAATGTTGACCAGGTTGCACCCACTCCTTTCAGTCATCATTTCTAAAGTCCCATAGGAATTTATGAACAACAGTTGAAGGTATGGTAAAAGATGAAATACTCATACAAAACTTTCTGCAGAAGACAAGACAAACAGAAACAAGATGATATAGAAAAAGACTGGATTTAAGGATTGTCTGCTGATTTACTGCTAGGATAACTGTAAACTTGGCACATACAGAAGGAAAAACATTTGCAAAGGGAACGAGAAATCTTGCAATAATTATTATGAGAACTGACAAAATTTTGTGCAATTAATTTGTGCATGTGCTGGACTCTAACTGGAAGTTTCAGATTGGCTTTCTTTGTAAGGGATGCATATTTGAAATTATGTATTACTGGATCATGCATTCTCTTGCCCAATTTTGCTTCTTATTGCCCATATTTGAGGCATTACAGAAACCTGCACACTGCTTTGAATAAAATTAGGCAACATTGGAAAACTACAAAGCTTTCCAATAGAGTAAGTAGTAAGACCTATGAACTAGCTGTATGAACCTTGTCTCCTAAGTGCAAAATCACCTTTCACGTCCACAGAGATGAAAGCTAACAAGGATTTCTATTCCATGGATTCTAAGAACGGCAAATGCAACTTGCACTCTTCCATAGTTCAGTTACATAACGCATCTTGCAAACAAACTCTTCCCCTTTCTATTAAGGCATAATGAACTATGGCGTAACCATAGTAACAACTTTTACCCTGAAGCCTGTACTTGTCCATCACAAATTTTGTGTGTGCTGCGTGTGTTTAGTTTGTCAGATGCCTCATCTTCTATCTTCCTTGAGCAAAAAACTCCAACAACGATGCAAATGCCAAAAACAGAAAGGGGAAGCTCTGACCCATTTCTCCTCTTCTGCTACCGCACCCCATCCCAGCTTACCTTCCACCATCATCACTGTGCCAAAGCCAAACACTTCAAGTTCAGAGAAACCTTCTGGGAGAGGATGTGATGTCGCCATCTTTGTAGCAGGGAGCTTAGACTAAGCTAGGCGCTGCCTCCGTGCATGAGCAAACTCTCTGTGCCCTCTCAGTCGTACTCACTTTCCTTTTTTGGCTGGATTTCTCCTCTCCCAAAAAGCCAGAGGCAGCTTCCTTCTTAAAGGGCCAGTTTATACATGGACACTGACCAAAGATCATCAGAAAGAAGCTCTGAGTGCCACGTTTCCTCAAATTCCTTTAATAAAAGTAAAGGACAGCAGCTACCTACTGTCAGTTCTGTTTTGTTCATGGCAGAAAATAGTAGAAGAGAGAATGCCTTTATTATTCAAGTGTTCTGTGAATATGGAAACTTCTGCTTTCTCGTTTTAGAATGACCGTTATTGAGAAAAGGATTGCTTGCATTTAGGCATCAGGCACATGTCACATGGCTGCTCAGGGGGGCATTTTGCTCCAACATAAAGCTCCACAAACAACAACTGGGGTGGCCATGCGTCCTGCTTTACAGAGGACAGCCCTCTGTTTATAGCACACATTATTTGAAAGGCTGTCCAATCTAAGCCCAGTTTAAAGACCAAGCAACATAGGAAGGAGGAACAGGGCCTCCAAGTTTTGCATCAATTGTCAGCATCTGGGCAGCAGAACGAGCAGCTGCAAAGGTTCCTCCAGCACAGGGTACATCCACATGTTATGTCAATGCACCTGGGCAATGAGCCATGCTACCATGGTTGTTCTGGAAAGAATCATGGTGCAGCTGACACATGCTTGGGTTTGCTGTGCCTCGTTCACCCCCATCCTCCAGCCCCCTTGATTGTCTTGAGGCGATCTCAGGAGACACTAGGATAGGACCAAGCTGCCACGATTGCAAGCTGACTGTGGCTCACCATGGCATTCTCCTTGCCCTCTCTTTTCTCCACCCCTGAGATCACAAAGTTCAGCTTGACAGCTGACTTTTGCACTCTCCGTTCTGACAGCCATGGAGGGCCCCTTTAAAGTGCTCATGGGGCACCTTGCAGGGGCTGTCAGTGGTAGGGAAACTGTTGAAATTATTTTTCTGCACAAAACACATACAGCAAAGCAAAGCAAAGCAGCACTTGTGCAAGTTCAGTGGGACACACTCAGGGGTTCTTGCAGTCAGGGAAGGTACCAATCTTTGATATTATCCTAAAGAAGATCTGAATAAGGCTTTTCCTTCCTTTGCTTTGCCCTGTCAGCTGCATATTATGTGGTCTCTATGGGAAGGATGGTGAGAAGGTTATTAATTGAACTTTCTCTGTGTCCAAACACTAGGATAGTTTCTTGAAACCATGCTAAGGCCTTATGGCCTTCAGCATGTTAGGAAGAGTACCAGGCATAGTTATCTCAAAACTGCCTTCTCCAATCATGTTGTAGATAAGGGCTGTCTTTGCTGTGAGAAGGGAACAGTTTGCCTTACTGACACAGCTTTGCCACCCCTGCCCCCATTCCTTCTAGGTTTAGGGGCATATCCTGTGTGCATACTGACAGACTCCACAGTTCTAGGAAAGAGGAACTTTATAAAATACATATGAGAAAGAAGAACCATTGGGGAGAAGCATTGGCCTGGTGAATGGAACTGACACCACTCAGCTAAGTGAGTCTGGAAGCGGACAGAACATGACCTGGCCTATTTGGGGAACAAAAATGGCCACAGAGAAGGGGAAGGCAAACTTTCTTTTGCTTGTTTATATTCTGGGTTCTCATCCTCAGATCTGAAGTGAGGAGCCTTCACCGAACTGGGCTCCTGGGATTAAAATGAGCTGTCAGGAAACCAAAGGCGCAAGTGATATTTGCTTGCCAAAATGTGGTAGCAAAATATAGGGTGAGATCCTGTTCTTATTTCTGCCTCACGATGAGGCACATTTTGCAGTTCCCTCGGGGTTTTAGCTGCTTGGAAAAGTACAAAAGTGCATCATCCCCCCTTTCTTTGGGGAAAAGGAGTGTTGACAGCAAGTTTTCAAAACTCTATATCCCCTTTAAAAGGGGGTTTTGACAGGAAGCTCTCTAACCAATTTCAGGTATCCTTGGTGGGCTTGGTAGCCCAGGTTTGGATGACACAGAAGCTCAGTCATGGGTACAAGAACCCTTACAACAGCTCTCAGGTCAACAGGATGGCAAATAATAATATAATAATAATAATAATAATAATAATAATAATAATGATGATGATGATGATGATGATGATGATGATGTTGTCCTGCAACAAGCCACCCTGAAGGAAATGCTCTGGCTTTGCACAACATAACAACATATAGAGATTAACAGTACACTGATGGTTGTTTTGTCATGTGAACCTGGTCACACTGAGATATATTGTATTTCCATGTAAAATATTGTGATTATTTCTCTCTCTCTCTCTGTGTGTATGAATGACCATGTGATTTTTTTTAAATGCAAACCGGTGTCCCCTTCTATTGCTTTTTTAGAGGGCGCATCTCTCCTATTTTGGCAGTGCATGTGTGGCTATCCAAAGATAAAAGCCAGGTCCAAAGAATACATGGCAAGTTCTTCATGCTGTTGGAAGCACTGGGTTCGTATTTTATCAAACATTTCTCACTAGCACTGCAACCACAAGTTTCAAGAACTGCATGGACTATGGCAAGGGAACCTGGGGAAAGGCAGAAATCTCACTGGACATGGCTTGGCCTTTAGATATTCTTCAGGGGGAATTTCAAACCTCTTTCAGCCTGAGGGCAATGTTCAATTTTGGAGACGTTCTTGGGCTGCATATCAGTGTGGGCTTGGCTGATGGTGAAAGTGCTAGGGCTAGAAACCTGCACATTTTAGCTGCCGGTAATAAAACCTAAGCATTTCCACCTTTTAGAATGGGGAAAATTGTATAAAAGGCAGGAGACCACCGAATGAGAAGTAAGGGAAGAACCCTTTTTATTCTCCCAGTATGTTAACTGTTAACTTGTTTTATTTAGAGGGTTTATATTTTAACACTGGATGCTGGGCAATTGTTATTCTTATTTCTATTTTTAGGATTAATTTGCTGTAAACCGTCCGGAGATGTCTAAGTATGGGATGGTACAGGAAAGTTTTAAAGAAATAAAGATAAATAGTTGGTAGAACATGGGGAAAGGGGCATGGCCTTCTGGATAACCCCAGAGGGTTCAGATTTGGGCCTAAAGTTCTGCACACCTGGCTTAAGGGATCCCTCCAGCCTTTGGCCTAGCTTTGTACATATTGTAGGAAGTCATATGGGACATCCAGGGCAGCCTTCTCCAACCTAGTGCCATCCAGGTATAGGCTGGGGAAGATAAGAGTGGATGTTCTTGATATCTGGAGGACACCAAGTCCAGGAAGGGAGATTTAAGGACTTTGGATGCAACACACAGGTCATTAGTCATTCTTAAATTTCATTGGAAGAAAGGGGGCTTAAATATTTGTACGTGTGCTTTAGGAAGCCCCAGGAAACTACTGGCGGCAGATCTGAGGCTGTCACTCGATGCAGTGTGTGAGATGTTCCCAAGTCCAAGAGCATCAGTACTTATCCAATGCTACTATGTCAGCATTTTGGAGTGGGACCAGGATGCAGGCACAATAACTGTGCATCAACTTAGCATAAGTGGGTTATCAAAAGCCATGTGGCTTTCTGGTTACAATCACAGAATTTGAATGGTGTAGGACAAGGATCCATTGGTTGGGCAGGCCAGAGGTGGTGTAAAGGGTTACCCCACTAAGTCTGGACCACCGAATCTCCCAGTCCCTGGAGGCCACCTGCCCCAACATCCTGCTGCCCATGGGCACCTGGTGAAATAAAGGGACGGGATCCTGCTACAGCTGATTCCTTTGGATGAGTTGGCTTTCTGCTCACATGTGCTTTTCCTCCTGCTGCCTCCCCCCTCGAATCTTTCTGCCTGAGGTTCTTCCTGACACTCAGTGCCTTCCTCTCCCCCATTTACCATCCCTTTTACAAATGGGGGAGTCCTTACGAGACAAGGTCCTTTGTGGCCGCACACAGAAATTCTGGAGCATAGGTAAGTTAGGATGTGCACATACAGTATGTTTCTCTCTTGTGGACCTTCCCCCAGATCTACTCAATACCGAACACATTCCTGGGGCAGCCCAACTTTTGACTACTCCTCCCATTTCAGCCTGCAAACCGTGATCATGAAGGGTGTGGGAGGAATGTTGGGTCTAACTAGCTCAGTGAAGACGACCCACAAAATGTGGCAAGTGAAAACATCGAAAGAACCTGTGTGAGTACATACGGTTGGTTACTAATAAAAACAGCAAGGCCATACAATACAGCAGTGATACAGAAGGATAATAGATGCAAATTAGACACGGTAGGACAAAAACAAAAAAGCCATTGTAGAGTCAGATGGTAACACCTGTTCTTTTCAGTAAAGCAGTTCTGGTCATTAGTAGAATGGTTGCAGCTACTGTATGGATAAGATCTCTGGTTGCATCTTGTTTCAGCATGGCATCAAACCCAGTCAAAACGGCAACATTTCTCATTTTCTGTGTTTCTTCCAAACCACCAATGTAAATCATCTAAAGTCTCCCCGCAGTGGGGTTTTATTCTTGCCCAAAAGGTTCCATGTAAAAATCAATTTACAAGGCTCTGGAGCAGCAGGTGGGAATCTCTGAGAAATTTCAACTCTAGAGAGATTTCAAGATAGCCATGAATGGATTTTTACGCTGAAGCTTTTGGGGCAGTCTGTGGGAGGTTGTACGTTATTTTCATTGGAAAGTCACTCACAAGAGGCCATAAGATTTGTTATTGTTTAATATTTGATGCTCAGTCCTACTTTTTAATACCTACATGAACCCACTGAGTTAGATCATCCAAACATTTGAAATTATAGCAATAAAAATATTTATTTCTTAATGACATTTATGAATTGCTTATGTTAACCTCCAGAACAATATATTATAACATTGTAATTTATACTGTTATACTGTAATTTAATTTATACTGTTAAATTATATTATTTTATATTATGTTATTTATTTATGATTGTGAGCCGCCCTGAGGCTTCAGCAAATGGGGTGGCATAGAAGTTCCCTAATAAATAAAATAAAATAAATAATTAAATATGCCATGTTAATATAGTATTATGTATGCTGTAAGCCGTCCAGAGATGCAAGTAATTGGGCGGCATACAAATTTTATAAACAAATAATAAATAAATAAAAATTACATCCTGGTAAGGTC